AGAGGTTCCCAAAATTTTTGGATCGTAGCTAACGACTTTGTACAAAGTGTGTACGCCATATTTTTCGATTTTGGGTGCCCATTCTTACCTGATATTGATTTTTTGTAAATTGCTAATTGTAGTAAAGTTTAGTGTTAAAACATAAAGACCCCTAACATAATGACCCCTTGCAGTTTGTAATAGACCCCTAGGGGTCCACAATAGACCACTTTGGTAATCGCTGATTTATGACATACCAAGGTGTAAGGGTGTGTGTAGGTGGTAATAATACAATTTACTTGAAGATAAAATAAAACATCACTAAGGAATAGAGAGATAACTAAAGAAAAGTGGTACCCAATGGATAATTGGAAGGCGATCATGGATACCGTGTAATGGGCCCTAATTTATGGGCCATAACGCTTATTTATGTGCCCCTAGCTCAGATACAAAAATATAGGGTTGTTAGTTTAAGCCCGAAGAGTAATTGCAGGGCTTTCTAAGACGCACTATGATTGGAAGGATCCGTTTGCAGCGCTAATAAGAGCAGGCTATAGTGTCAGTGCATATAGGTGTTTTGTTAGTTTAGATAATCTATAATAATCTCAGGACAATTCACACAGCGCCATCTAGACCCAAGTTAAGCTAGTTAAAGCTTGTGTTATGGATACTAGATAACTGATACGTATACATAGATTTATAAATAAATACATATTATACATAGAAAATACCCAGACCCATACAAACAATCATACTTATGAATGTTTTCACCGTGCGAGGAACCGAACCCGCGACCATCGGTCGTAAAGCGGTGTCCTAGACCGCTAGACCACCGAGGTCGTCGGTCGATCTATGTTGTGAGTAATACCCCATAATTTATAATTATTTACTATTTTACATACAATTGATTACATTTACTTTTTAAAAAATAAAAGCTAGTCTCTATCCGACATTAAATATTAAGATTCGTTCGATCGTTTACTTTTGTAAAGGTTTTTAAAGGTTAAGTTATTACAGACACATTTGCGCATTTATAATTTATATATAAACAAATTATATGGTTATTATTAATCAAATCAAATCAAACAAATTGAATATCGTGCGAGGAATCATATCCACGACCTTCGGACGTAAAGTGACGTGTTAAACCGCAAAATCACGGAGATCAAAAAAACATTTCATATGTTTTATTGATCAAGTCTCAATTTTTATTTTAAACTTCAAAGATTTTCTTAATAATTTCCATAACAATATCAAATGTATTACATGACTACAAAAATAGAGTTACGCATTTATAATGTCAGTATTGATAAAATTACTGTAAAATTTAATAATAGTTTTTATTAATCAATTCAAAGTAGGTTATAACTATCATCAGATGAAGTATAGTTTCGAAACAATAAGGACTAACAAGAAACTCAGGAGTTACTCTTTATTAATGAACTTGAACACGATTACAAAAATAGAGATTCATTCATCATTGCCTTGCCTTTATCCCATTATTTGGGGTCGGCGCAGTATGTCATTCTCTTCCAATGCTCTCTATCGGTCGTCATATCTAAACATACTCTTCTTTTATTCATATCATCTCTCACACAATCTATCCATCTTTTCTTAGGGCGTCCCCTCCCTTTACAAAAATAGAGATTCATTATTAAATTAAATTAGGGAAAGTGTAGTCACCACCAGCAACATGTTATAACATTTATAATAATAATAATCTCAGGACAATTCACACAGTGTCATTGGGTCTAGACCCAAGTTATGTCGAAATAATTTAAATAGCTGCTATATAACTCGAATGTCGATTTATTTTAAATCTAATTTTATGTAATTAGAATTATACTGCACAATTATTGAAAATCAATATACTATAAATATATATATAAAACTGTCAGGAACATCCGTAGTGCCGGAACTACGCAGTTATTAAAAAAAAACAGGAATAACTTTACGTGTATAAAATTCTCAAGATAGTCAAAAACTCATAAGTGACATATAAGAAAAGGGTCATCAAACATATATATATATATTGACGACCTCAGTGGTCTAGCGGTTAAGCATACTGAATTACTTCCGACGGTCGCGGGTTGGATACCTCGCACGGCACTAACATTTATATTCATGAGTATGATTGTTTTGGTCTGGGTGTTTTCTATGTACAATATGTATATATTTATGAAAAAAAAAATATATTTGTGTCAGTTATTACCTATGTGTAGTTATTACCTATAACACAAGCTTTAGCTAGCTTAACTTGCCTCTAGAGGGCGCTGTGTGAATTGTCCTGACATTATTATTACGTCCTGAGAGATAATCTCTCAGGAAGTAATAATATGAGGGTTATTTATAAAAAGAATGGTGAAACAGCTGCCAGCTATTGTATATATACTATTGTATGAAGTGCTAAATATATTTTTTAAGAAACAAAATTTTCATAAAAAGAATAAAGAAAAACAAACTGCCAGTAATAAGAAGTGCTATGTATATTTTAAAAAGTATATATCTAGAAAGACAAATTTACCACATAGATTTTTACATTTAACTAAAGGCGTACAAAAAAGGTACTTACATTGAAATATTAGCATCCCCTTTCCGCTATTATACCTCCTTTAAACACAATAGCTAAGTACTACGTAACATAATATCTGCATACTGCAACTATTAAATTGGAAATGTATACTACGCAAAGTTTAATAATTCTAGAAACTGAGAGGGCAAAGACCTAACCTTCAGTTGCTAGAAATTATTAGAAAATCATACAGGATTGGACGGATAGCTGGCCAGATGTATATCTGATAATTTATCAAAATCAGATGGTTATGATAAATTAGTGATGAGACTTCATATAAATTATAATAATGATAAACTTAGATAATTTAAACAGCGTCATCTAGTCCCAAGCTAAGCAGAGCTAGTCTTATAGGTACTAGACAACTGATACAATTACTTATTTTTGTAAATACATACATAATAAAAAAAAAAATCCTAGACAATTTACATAGCACCATCAAGTCCTACGATAAGCAGTGATTGATAGACAACTGATATAAATACTTAGATTTTTTTTTTTGTAAATACAAATATAATATAAACAGAAAACACCCAGACCGATACAAACAATCATACTCATGAATACAAATGTTTACACCGTGCAAAAAATCGATCTTGCTATCATTGGAAGTAAAGTGGTCTACTAAACTGGTAGACCACCCACGCCATCAGTTATTGCTCGCATTTTTTTATGATTAATTTTTTATGTGGAGTAAATATTGGATATCTTACTTTTTGTATGTTTATAACATTTTATAATACTCAACTAAATAATAGTAAAGAAACTAAAGTACTAAACTTTAACAAGATATTCATTTAATATTTCACTCATTCGTTTTATTGAATTTACCTTAATAAATTAAGGTAAGATTTATTCCAATAGAGGAAATGTAGTGTTAGATACAAAACTTATCTTTTATAAATAATGTAAGTTGAAAAAAATATTTGAAATCTATAAATATCACAGACAAACTAACTTCAAAAAAATTTGCGTGTTGATGTCGCTATGTTTTTTTTTCCGAAGTATTCTAAAGCTGTTGTCTGCTTCTAATCCTGTAAAACCTCACCGAACGATATGGAGTGAATACAGATCACAGTCCAAATGCGCGGACATATGCAGCGGTTAAAGGGCAATGCCTGCCTGACAGATACGACTTAGTCTGAGGGCACCGGTAGGGAACCTCGTCTCAGGCCGTTCGATCCCCGTTTAAACTGGATGGGGGATCGGTCGGGTTTAATATGCAATGTATTTATTCATACAAGGGCAGTTTTGCTCACCATACTATGGAAACAGAGTTCTAAACTCGTAGCATTGTTTAAATGGATTATTAATCAGGATTTGATTTCAAGTGTGTTGAGGATACATTTGTGTGAAAAGATGTAACAGATATGTTTTATCAAAATGATGAAATATAGTAGATGAAAGCGAATAAAGACAATTTAGTATAAGGTACACTTTGTACAAAGTCGTTAGCTAACTATTTAAGCTGTGGTTTGGTTGAAGGGTAAGAAATTGCAGAGAAATTATTGGATGCAGCTAACGATACCTTAACACTCCAAAATGTCACAAGCTTGGTACCACTCTCCCCACATTATGAGGTGATATCCGTGATGCTATTCATGTATATAAACAACGTTTACCATTTACCATCAGGCGGGCTTTCAACTTGTTTACCATTTCTGTTAAATAAAAATTAGCAATCCAGAAATCGACTACAGATTGTGTATATGTAGGACTATAAGTATTTGGTGAAAATAGAAGAGCCTCCACGACCTTACATTTTGAGTGATCAATCACGTCTAAAAGGCTCCGATCGATTAATTGCCGGATTTGACCTTCACTTTGAAGCGAAAAAGTGTAACAATATGGATTATGATTATTATTTTATATATACCACGATGATGGCAAAGAAGTATAAGTCGTAAGAACGGTTAATTTTTAAAATATTTGGTTTTCTAATTGTAATGCGTGATCTTACAAATTATTTAACAGATTTTAGAACTTATTTAATCTACAGGAAGCTAAATTAATTCTGGGTTGTGTTATATAAGTATATATTAAAAATCTCCACAATAACTGCACCCATGCAAATCTGGGGCGAATCACTAGTCATTAATAAGAAAGAGAATAAGTTGCTCTACACCAGACTTTCTTAGATTTCCAATTGTTTGTTGTTGTTAGATTATAAATTAAATCTAAAATCAATAAAATAATCTTATTAATATTATACATGCGAAAGTTTGTGTGTATGGATTGATGGATGTTTATTACTCGTTCACGTAAAAACTACAGAACGGATTTTGATGGAACTTTACAGTAATATAGCTTATACATCAGAATAAACCATTGTCTAGAATTTAAAAAGATATAATGTAAATTAGGCAAGATTATGATGATAAATGTCAAATAAATGTAATGTCGATGAAATTACGCGAGCACATTTATTAAAATGTAATGAACTACTTACGTTTCTTAAACTGATTATGAATTTGAATGACTCTCTCAGCATTCTTCCGCGCTATGTAGAACCATTCCGAAGTGTTACTCAAATATTTATATTCCACCGCCAGATCCTTCGCCAATATTGGTCCTTCCGGTAACCGATATGCGAACGGGCAAAATAACTGATAATCTTTATACTGAAATTGGTCATAGCAATTTCCAGCGGCGAATATATCATCATCAAATTCGACCATGGACAATACGCTTGCGTGTAACAAATATTCATTGTGCATTACTGAAGCTCCAGCGTACTTCCATAGTCTTGTCAACATATTCGCTCTATTCACTGCTATATCAGCTTCTATTCTAAATCTTTCTTGAGCATATCTATCTACAACACCTTCACCTAGATTCAAATGTGTACCCGCTGTACAGTTTTCGCCTAACAAATGTTGCGTTTCTATTAATCTAAGAAATTTTGTAACAACATCTTCATGTACATTTGGTTTTGTTATTGTAACATTTTCTGCTTCTGTGGTCTCATTGGTTAGATCTCTTATTTGATCTGTATTTAGTGTATCATCTACGGATATTTTGGTTTCGTTGTTTTCATAACTATGTCCTAGATTAATCAAGTGTTCTAAGAGTGATACATCATCAGTTGTGACGTCATCAGCTTGATGATCATTTTTTATATTAGTAGAAAAATTGCCAAAGAACTTTTGAAATGAATCGTTGTCTTTGGATGATCCATCGTCATCGTCTGGTGCTCCATATGGTCTTAAAGCAGAAACTATAGGATCCTCTCCAGATTTGTCTATACTTTCTGTAACAAACAAAACATCAAAATTAATTAAAATAAATTTAGAACGTACAATATCCATCATAGTCTACTAAAAATCAAATCGACTGAACCGATAAACAAATAAACTTGCTTCTTTAAGTCAATAAAACATAACTATAAAATTATAAGAATAACGTAATTCCTTAACAGAAACAAATCACATTTTTACGTGATTGGTACATTTTATCAGATGAATTCCACAATATAAATTTACATCAACCACGAAACGTCTAGTACGATATTAATCGTGCTACCAAAAGAAAAATATTTCAATATCATCATAACAACAAGTAAATTCCACAGTAATACATTTAGTCTAAGACTCCTAGAGTTTTTGCTTGCAAATTTCGACTTTATTAAAATAGATAGTGTTTTGATCACGTGCACTATGACCAAGATACGTATAGAGACGTTTTTCCCGTAAATAGATTTCTTCGGAGGAGTAACAGGCTTGTAAAATCTGTGCAATCACCCTATATAAAGGAGGATTTTGTTTATGGGGACAACAAATCGCGACTTTCATTACAGCGGGGGTGGTGTGAATTGATAGCCGGCATTATTTATCGGCAGCAATTTTGTTCAACTCCCTGCGTGTTTTCTCTTCCTGAATAGTTTATTGTCATCAATATTTTGAGACTTAAATTTACCATTAGTATTTACCATCTATCTTTTTATGTGAATCGAATGGTAAACAATCTGATGGCTATATACATGAACAGCATCAGTATTGACTTTGACATCACTATTACTCCAGTCCGCTCGTGACTACGGCTAGTGCAACCCAATCGAAACGTCGAAAGAGGTCTTTATTTACCATTAAATTATTCGTGTTAAAATCGGTTTAACTATATTAATATTGAATACTAAATCCAAAATTAAAAAAATACAAAAAAAAAATTCAAAAATTTTTTTGCCTAACTGAATTCTTAAATATAAATACATTCAGAAATATAAAATTTCTTGTATATATTCTAATTTATTTTAATGTGAACTCAGAAGAAATTATCCCCCAAAGATATTTCAACCTAACAGTGTAGAATAAGTTATAAGTGAGTAATAATAGTGTAAGTAAAGAATAAACAACAACTTGACGCGGTTATTATTTATACGTATAATTACTAATTCTCACGGGAAAAAAAACGAAGATTTACTACGTTTTATTTATTATTACAGAGTTCCCGATTGTACGTATAATGAAGACAATGTCAAATCGTAACCTAAAACGTACAAAAAAGTAACAACATCATTATAAATTTTCCTTTTTTAAATAATAACAATAACACTGAGCAATACACATCTACCAACGCCATCTAACCCCAAGCTAAGCAGAGCTTGTGTTATGGGTAACGCCATCTAGTCCCAAGCTAAGTAGAGCTTGTGTTATGGGTACTAGACAACTGACAGAATAATAAGATAAATTTTCTAGACACGTTCTATTTATAAATAATAAATAACTCTGGACAATTGACACCGCGCCATCTAGTCTCACGGTAAGCAGAGCTCGTATTATGGGTACTAGACAACTGGTATAAATATTTAGATTTTTTTTTTTTAAAACATACATAATATACATAGAAAATACCCAAATACCCAGGTACAAACAGTCAGGCTCATGAATAAAAATGTTTGCACCGTGCGAGGAATCGAAACCGCGATCATTAGGAGTAAAGTAGTGTGCTCAACCGCTAGACTACCAAGGCTGTTATTTTTATTGAATCTCCAATTTTTCCTAAGTCTTGTCAAAAAATAAGAATAAATACCTAATTAAAAATCGCAATCTAAAACGCTTGTGATGGAAGGCTGGTTTAAAATGAGACACGTTCCTAGGTGAGGTAAAATATGTTCAGCTCGCTAGCAAAAACGTAAAGCGAATGAATATGGCATTAGAAAACAATCGGTATATAAAAACAGAATGTCAAAATATAAAATTCAAAAGTATATAAAAAACTATCAAAAAGGTAAAAACATTGGATATAAATTTGGTTTCTATTTTCTATGTATTGATACTAATCGCTGGAATAAACATATATAACAATATATTCCATAAAAAGTAATGGGTTACCTCACAGCTGTATGTTACCCATTCTAAGTTGTTAACACGAAGATAAACCCTATAGTATATTACGTGTATATTACACTAGTTTTTGTTTCACTTAATTACCTGCAGTCTCACTAAAGTTATGACCACGGAAACTTCTCATACTATTCGAGATTATCACGATTACGCACGTTTATGGCGATATATATATGTATATATGGCGTGAAATCACGGCACCTTATCTTCGTTCCTTCGCATGTGTATAATTCATTTTTTTAGTAAATAAAAGATATTTATTTATAAAAAAAAATGTAATACTAGTTTAGAACTTAAGTACTATCGTCGTCGATCTCTTATTTTAATTTTTTACTAATAAAATAGGAATTGCTTCACCAGATATTCGGCGACGTTTCACCAGATGTTGTGCGAGACAGAAAAAAAGGAGACAAGAGGCCCCGATTCCCGCCGCCCACTTCATAACCACTCTATTCCCAGCAGGAAGAGTTTTTTAAGAAGGACAAGAGCTTTGACCAACGACCCACATAAAGCCAAAGTAGACTTATGGAAGTCAAACCATCCTGCTCCTTTTACTTTATTCAACCAGACGAACACCTGCCCTGCACTAGGTAGCGACCTGCAATGACCCACTTGGAAATCAGGCTGCAAACAGATTGTGAACCCAGATAAGCCGCTGCAGGTACAATTTGGTAAAATGGGGTGTTGCTTCATGGGACGCTTGCGACTGCGGAGCGCCATCCCAGACTATGGCCCATCTATTGATCTCTCCTTCGTGCCCAACATTCTGCACAAAGGAAGATTGATAAAATGCGACAGAATGCGCAAAAGTCGTCGCAATATTCTGGGGAAAATACATTTAGTTACCATTGAAACTAAAGAAGAAGAAATTTACCAACGCACAGCCCAAACCACTGGACGGATCGGGTTGAAATTTGCCATGCAGGTAGATGTTATGACGTAGGCATAGCCAAAGGGATAAAATAGGGGATGAAAGTTTATATGAAACTTTGTCAATTTTAAACCGATCGGGCTGAGACTTTGCATGCATAAAGCTACTATGACGTAGGCATCCCCTAAGAAAGTATTTTCATAAATTCCACCCCTGAGGGGATAAATTAACGCGAGCGAAGCCGCGGGCAAAAGCTATTATCTAATAAATTCATTTGGAATGTTCTAGTCTTTACATAACGGGAATTTGTTAACTTTACATCTGTAACAAGTTGATAGAGTTGAAATAATATTCATTGACCGGAAGACTTCAAATTTGAATAGTGTTCACAATTCAAATCACAATTGAGTTTGAAATAATATTGTCATATCAAACACAAACTTTGTTATTTGTTTTATTTTTAAATAATTTTACTTAGTTTGATTAGTATATAATTAAAATACTAGTTTATCACACAAAAACAATTGTTATTTTTTTATTATTGTTAATTTGTTTTTTTGGTAAGGAAGAGTGTTTTAAATGAAACTTCTTGTCACGTTTATTGCAACAACTTTAAATTTTCAAATTACATAGAGGTGGAGTATGCGCACTTTTTATTGGTGCTCATATGTGTCGCGTGATCTTCTCGTCTCGAAATCATTCCGAACTGACGGTAGATTTAACATATCATAAGAGTCTGTAATAGACCTACATGAATAAGGATATTTTGAATTTGAATTTGAATATGTATTAGACTTTTAAGAATGCTTCAATTATAAACGTCCGGACATTATCTACTAAATTCATTTGCCTTTTTAATGCGTAAATCGAATTACCCAAATTCGAAGCCTGCAATACTATAGAAGATCTGCATCACATATTAATGGAGTGTGTCCGAGACACTATAAAAGGGAATTGTTTTTAAAAAAAATTGGACTGAATCGGCTTGATGTTGGTATGTACCACGGTTTACTATCTGATTCTGTATCATCACCAGAATTTTTTTTATTTTCATTGAACAGTAGAAGATAACATTATTAATAAGATACGATGGGACTGGCATTATCATATTATGATAAAAGTCCCTAAATAAGTGTAAGAATAAAAAAAAAGTCCGATTGATAATACGTAATTGGTAAAAAACTTTTTTTTTTATAACACAGGCGGCAAACGATAATGCGGCTCACCTGATGGTAAGTGATTACCGCCGCCCATGAGCACCCGAAACACCAGGGGAATTGCAAGTACGTTATCGGCCTTTTAAAAAGGAATAAGCTCTTTTCTGAAAGGTTTCAATATCGTATCGGAAATACCATTGCTGGAAGGTGATTCCACAATGTGGTTGTGCGTGGCAAAAAGTTTCTAGAAAACCGCACTGTGGAGGACCGCCATTCATCCAGATGATCAGGATTGTATTTTAGTTTCTGGCGAGTGGTACGGTTGTGAAACTCAGCAGTTGATATTAATCCGAACAATTCCTCAGAACACTCCCCGTGATATATGCGGTAGAAAATACACAGAGATGCAATATCTCGCCGCAAAGCCAATGGGTCGAGTCTGTCATATAGAAGTTGATTACCAATGATTTGATTATAGCTAGTGATACTGAGTTTAATATATTTCTCTATTGTCTATATATAACTAGATAAAGATTTAAGAAATGCATCCCAGTACAGTTTCCTACGGAGACTAGGTCGTAATACGAAGCTGAGACAAATCCATTCAATAGAGAATGTGAATCCTATGTAAATTTCTCTGTGTTGCTCCAGAAACTTACTCTATACCACATTAGCATATAGAACTTAGTGTGTTACGCTTTACTTTGTCGATTGGTAACATAATATTTGTTTATTAGTGAATTTTAATGGAAACATTTGGTAACATGTTCTATTAGTAATAGAACATGTTTCCATTATAAGAATACAGTGGGTTGCCAAATTAATAGGGACAGTCACATTTTTTATAATTTTTGTTCTTCAAGTGGTCTTGACTACGTTT